TTATGTTCGATTCGCGCTTTGCCCGTCGATCAGATCAGTAAAGATTGATGACCTTAATTCAAATCAAACCCGGTAGTATAATATTGAACAAATTGCAATTCAAATTTCAAAAGCTATATTCGCTCGCCGCAAGAATTATGTGAATTCCCGATGTGAGTCATGTGGCGTCAGATTGGGTCCTATTATTGAAATGATAGACATTGTCTATTATTTCTATAATGTATTATTTCTCTGCCTCTGGGTCTTATTAGCATTCTCGTTCAAAATCACCAACTCTAAACCCTCATGGTTAAAGTCAACGAAGATGAAATTTTTGATGAAATGATTTTAGCATGAAATATAAGCTAGCACTTTAAGTGAAACGAAATATACCCTTCTTTATTTATTACTCTTCAGTATATATGTGTATGTAGAGTTGAAGTGAAACAGAAAATTAATTTAAAGTAATGTTTTAAATTATAATTTTTTGCACATGGTCCGTTTTAGAAGAATACATAATACTAAAATCCTGTCAAAACCATATCATAGTCCAAAGTTCAACTTTGTATAGTTTATAAATTCATTTGCTCGTTCATTTGTAGTTTAGTACCGTGGAATAAAGGTGTAATATACAGTGTAAAAAAAACACTGGATCTGTCAAATTATCCACATTTACCGGAATACGAATTGTTTTTAGATAATGGACCGCTATATAAAACAGTCAATGAAACACATTTGCACACTATTTACCTTTGTGCTATATGCATGCATGCGCTGAAAAAACCCGTGTGGTTTTTCACAATTTTTAGTCGAGTATTCACCAAAATTTATTTCAACAACTAGCCCATATTATAACGACAACTTAAGATACCTTTTAAAAACAACAACAGGGTAAAAGCAGTCAATACTGGCAGATTTTTGGTCACAAAATCAGTTTCACTAAATTCCCGCCATTTTCCAATTTATCTTACCAGACGTTATAAAAGTGTTTTTTTAATGAAAGCATGCAGTTACACGTTCCACCAACCTTATTCTTTCGCGAATTCGTTCCTTCTTTGATTCGTCGTTAACGTCGTAAACGCCAATTAAACAAATAATGTGTTATCACCTTTTTTTAACTTTAAATTTGTACACTGAAATTTGTTTTAACTTGTCGGAACTTGTCGGAACTCGGAGCTCAGATATCTGGATTAGCTGCATTGAACTGTAAAAAAACTGGACAACCCAACGAAGCCAGTGCTTGTTACTTTTCCTGCGTTTTGACGCCTATTAATGTTGAGCCGAATATGAAAATAATGAAATGAAAGCCATTAAAAAGTTTAATTTCGTATAGAAAGTTTTAGAAGTCTGAATATCAACCTTGACTATACGTTGGAATAACGTCGAGTAATAACGTCGACACAACGTCTATGAAACAATGCTAATACAATGTTGAATTAAAGTCTGTCCATTGACGTCTGTATATCAGCCTCGATTCAACGTTGAAACAACGTTTGAGTAATAACGTCGACACAACGTCTTTGAAACAATGTTGACACAACGTTGAATTTAAGTCTGTCTATTGACGTCTGTATATCAACCTCGATTCAACGTTGAAACAACGTTTAAGTAATAACGTCGACACAACGTCTTTGAAACAATGTTGATACAACGTTGAATTTAAGTCTGTCCATTGACGTCTGTATATCAACCTCGATTCAACGTTGAAACAACGTTTGAGTAATAACGTCGACACAACGTCTTTGAAACAATGTTGATACAACGTTGAATTTAAGTCTGTCCATTGACGTCTGTATATCAACCTCGATTCAACGTTGAAACAACGTTTAAGTAATAACGTCGACACAACGTCTTTGAAACAATGTTGATACAACGTTGAATTTAAGTCTGTCCATTGACGTCTAATTATCAACCTCGATTCAACGTTGAAACAACGTTTAAGTAATAACGTCGACACAACGTCTTTGAAACAATGTTGATACAACGTTGAATTTAAGTCTGTCCATTGACGTCTGTATATCAACCTCGATTCAACGTTGAAACAACGTTTGAGTAATAACGTCGACACAACGTCTTTGAAACAATGTTGATACAACGTTGAATTTAAGTCTTTCATATGACGTCTAATTATCAACCTCGATTCAACGTTGAAACAACGTTTGAGTAATAACGTCGACACAACGTCTTTGAAACAATGTTGATACAACGTTGAATTTAAGTCTGTCTATTGACGTCTGTATATCAACCTCGATTCAACGTTGAAACAACGTTTAAGTAATAACGTCGACACAACGTCTTTGAAACAATGTTGATACAACGTTGAATTTAAGTCTGTCATATGACGTCTAATTATCAACCTCGATTCAACGTTGAAACAACGTTTAAGTAATAACGTCGACACAACGTCTTTGAAACAATGTTGATACAACGTTGAATTTAAGTCTGTCCATTGACGTCTGTATATCAACCTCGATTCAACGTTAAAACAACGTTGATTGACTTACGTCAATGCAACGTCTTGGAAACAACGTAGAAGCAACGTTTATATTACGTTGTCGACGTCGCGACGTCTTTTCAACATAAAATAGACGTTGAAACAACGTCTAGTGCCCGCTGGAGCTATAGCTATAATGCATTTTCAGTTCTTTGAATAGATACAACTGAAAAGTCTTTCTCGAGTCCTTTCCTAGAGTAGTGCTACCAAGATTTTAATGAATATACGTGGTTGCATGTTCAATTTGAAGTGGAATGATTATCGTGATTATAGCTATATATATCGACCCGAATTAGATTCAGGAATGTTTTTGCAAACATTAAAGATTGCTAATAGCAACACCAATTAGGGAGGTAAAGCTTCATCAATTTTCAATGTGTAAATTTTTGGAGGCGGCCATCATTTTTTACAAACGAATAAAAAAAATGTTAACGAATAAAAAAAATGTTATTATGAAGATGGATTTCACTTGTTTTGTCAATCTTTAAGCAGGCTAGATCGGACATACTGAAATTATGTGATTTTAGTGATAGCATTTTGGCAGCTGCGAAGCCAACTACAGTGAATCATCCACGATCTTTAACGCGCCTTCGTCACGCAGAGACGCTCTAAGGTAATAACCTAAAATGCAATTACTATGTAGCTAGTTGCCATTCCAAAATCAGCATGAAACTAACGAAACTGAAAGAACATAATATTTTTAGATTTGCATGATTATCAACTGCCAGGATATGACATAACACAAATCCTTCAATTTTTCTCGTTCAGAAAAATTTCGTCAGACCATTTCAACGGCTGCAAGAAAGACCAGTCTATCGATTATCTCCGTGACCAAGACAGATTTAAGACAATATTATTCGAAATTTCACCGTTCAAAGATGTGGTCGTGTATGGCGCATTTACACGTCGCACGCGATGGAGCAATATGATCAACCAGAGCACGAACCATGTTTACATTCGTGAACACATTGCACATGCTAATATAAGCTCTTACAGTATAATATATAAAAAAGCTTTTAATATAAGCGCGAATTCCAAAGTGTTAGACAAAGACAAAGTGAAAGTTATGTCCATATGTAAACATATGCGGTTTTTTTACATTTTTGAACTTATGTAGTTACTTTATAAAGTGCGATGTGCTTCTGAATGTCGAAAAACATTTTGGTTCACAACGCTTCTAAACTTTTAAAGCACTGGGGTTGTCTCAATATCCGCATTTTAGCTGCAAGACGTCTCAACCTGCCGTTAGAACCCCTGCCAGCGTGATACTGGCAACATACTGTGAGTTTTTGTCATTTTCCTGGAAGAAAAAAATGGCACTTGCAAAGTTACTGACTTAATTAAGACAATAAAATATTGAACTTGATATTATTGAATTCATAGTTTGAACCTTTCGGCTATTAAAAGCTGTGGGTCAAGAATACAAAATGTCTACGGAAAACTATTTGCATTGGAAGGAAAGGCAACCACAGTTGAATTGAGACGCAAATTGATGCAAAAGTCCAGTTAATTGTGCCTAGAGATTTTATAACAAATACCTAATCTCGTATAAGTCCTGTCATGAACAGCAACTGACTTATATGTCATAATATTAAGAGTACCTAAAGTATTTTCCTTTAAATAAATAAAAGAAATCTTTCTCGAGACCTTTCCAAGAGTAGTGCTATCAAGATTTAATGAATATACGCTGTCGCATTTTCAATTTGAAGCGCAATGAATATCGTATTATAGCTACTAAATACATAATATTATAACCCCGAATTATATTCAGGAATGTTTTTGCAAAAAGATTGCTAATAGCAACAGCAATTAGGGAGGTAAAGCATCATCAATTTTCAATGTGAAATTTTTGTAGGCGGCCATTATTTTTTACAAACGAATAAAACAAATGTTATTATGATGATGGATTTCACTTGTTTTGTTAATATTTAAACACCCTAGATCTGTTTACTGAAACTCTTGTGATTTTAGTTACAGCATTTTGGCGGCTACGAAGTCAACTAAAGTGAATCATCCACGATCTTTATTTTATCGCGCCTTCGTGACGCAGAGACGCTCTAAGATAATTATACAAAATGCAATTACTATGTATGCATGGATAGTTGCATGCCATTCCAAAATCAGCATAAAACTAAAAAAACTCTGTGTACGAATTGTTATTTTCCTGAAAGAACATAATATGCATAATTTTAAACTATATATATAGTTGACTGATGAAAACCGATCTTGATTTACTTATTAACCAATGGCGATTTTTATCTATATATACATGTAGGCCATTTGTGCTCAAATTTTACTGCCGTCGCCAGGGTATCTACGCTTCAGAACGAGATAGGTTTGTTAAAATGTATTATTGATAGAAAGCCGTACGGCGTTTTGACACACAAGCTCATTAAAGCTATCGGCTATCAGTAATATATAAAGCATATTAACCTTAAGCTTTTTTATCAGTTTGCGAAAATAAATAATAACATTATGTTGAGTGCCAAAGAATATTAAAATCCTATTAATATAGATACGTATTAAATTTATTTTAATGTTATAGAAATCACGCAAAAAAAGTTTAGACCAGTTGTATAATTATAGACAAAAAATTAATGAAATTTAAATCATGCATGCAGGAAACCACGTCTCACAACACATTTAGCTGCGAAAAATCTCGCTTGGTCAGACTTTATTTCACTTATAATTGGCCATTTCGACTTGAGAAAAGTTATGATAATGCCGAAGATATCTCACAAGCGCCATAGTGCACTATATTTTGGTCTAAACTCTGCACTTTTTATAATGTCTTATATGACGACCTCCAAGCAAGCAGGAGCTAATATACATACAACCTTGCGCTTGTTAGTTCTATTGCGGATGCACATTGTGAACATGCTCATTAAAAAAAATTCCCTAAAAGGCCTAGGTACGTTGACTATATACTGATGGATTGCGCTTAGCAGCACTTCACAAGACTAGTAATTTCAAGTTGCTTTCTAAATTGCCACTTTAATTCTGTCTGTATAAAACGCTGTATATAATTTTCTCGATAATCACAGCTAGGTACAGTACTTTTCATGCACGATATTTGTATCGGCCTCCATACGAGGTGTATCAGTATCTGTAACGCCAATGTTTTTTTAATATTCTAATTGCCATAAAGACAATTTTGTTTTTAAGTTCCAAAACAATTTACAATAATATATAATTGTGAAATTGCCCACATAAACATGTGTAAATATTTCAAAAATTGTGGTAGGCAGCCCTTCATTTAGCTAGTTGCTATCATTTATGGTTATATTAAGATTTGATTGTCAACTGCCTGGATAAGACATAACAGAAATTCTTTAATTTTTGTTGTTCAGAAAAATTTCGTGAGACGATTTCAACAGCTGCATGCAAGAAAGACCAGTGTATCGATTGTCTTCATGACCAAGATAGATTTAACTGAGACAATTATTCTAAATGCAATCATTATGTTGTTGTCATTACAAAACCAGCAGGAGACTTACAAGTACTATGAACTTATGTTATTTTCCTGGAAGAACACCTCCAGTACCTGGAAATACTCAACCATTGAAAGTGAAACTAAAAAAAAGTGAAATTACAATTCAAAGTCTAATGATTACAAGCTTTCAGTGTACGTTATTACTTTTTAAAATGCAATTCATTTTTGCTTTCCACGTTAATCGGCAACACGGATGTAAGACTTTTTATTCGTCCCGGCTCCAGTCCATCTCACCATTCCTAATGGAGACCCAAGGCATAAATGTAGCATTGGTTTCGATACCCATGTTTCCTTGCTTATCAATCGCAATCACACCAGCAAATTTTGTCACACGATCTTCAGAATTCATTCTTTCAACAGCATTCCTTGCCGCTTCCTAATGTTAAAGAAATATAAACCCAAACTTTATAAATATAAAACATCTTCTATTGCACACGCTAAAAAACAAAAATAACACTACGTTCTATATCAATACAATTAATGGTAACTTAGGCATTGCTACTTTATTTACAAACCCCCTTAATAGAATACTAAGATACTAAATCCGATGGGGTTTGACACGCCTAGGTTGAATGATCATAAAATCGCGAAACGAGAGTTATAAAGAACAGGTTATTCGAAGGGACGAGGTTCTGACGGTTCTGACTATTTTTCACTGAATTTTAGGGGATAAAATACCACAAAATGCATACCTAGGAATTAGAAGTACTAAGTACACGAAAGAACTTGCACTCATCATTATGCAAAGTATAATCAACTAACCTGAGCATTCTGTCCTCTTTCAATATTGTAGACGATCTCTTTTGCTAAAGTCATTTTTATTATAGATTCTCCATGGCCGCAAGCTGCCGCGGTAGCATAATCATTGGCATAACCTCCACAACCAATTAGAGGTACATCGCCAACACGACCTTTTAGTTTTTTGGGTGTGCCACCTGATAGAAACAAGATCGTTACATTGTTTTAAGACGTCTTGTCAGACAATTTTTCATTTTTCTCTACATTATTATATAACATAAAACATAAACTAAACTATTACCTGTCGACATTGCACACGCAAAATTGCCTTTACTGTCGATTGCAACTGCTGCTACAGAATCGCTATATTGATCAAGGCCACCTACCACGCCTGGACGTAACATAGAAATTTCATTTTTTTCTTCATCTCCTTCCAGAACTATCAGGTCATCAGGATCATCCAAAATTGACGCGAAGCCTTTTGATTGAGCAAATTCGTAGGCTCCATCTGCACACAAGACGCAATGCTCCGATTTTTCCATAACTGCTCTGGAGAGCATTACAGGATGCTGAAAATGTCGTACTGCCATTACCGCACCTAAACGCATTAGTAATTACCAATTAAGAAATAGAAAACAATTTACCATGTTTCTATACGGTTATAGAAACACGTGTGGGAATTTGGGGGAACGAAAAATAATCAGTGGGACAACGAGCCCGTTGGGCGAATTTTTCCACGTTATTTAATTTTTTTTTCTGACGGTACGAACTTGTTCTTTTCGCATACTAATTCAGTGCATTTGGCTAATTAATGTAATAAATGGCGAGCTACAAAAACTTTCGATTTGCCTCAGAGCAAACGAATTGTCTTTAAATGTTAATAAAACAAAATTTATGATATTCAACCCGAGAAAAAAAACAAACTTTAAAATTGTACTTAATAACAGAAAATTTACTCAAAACAAAGGAAAAAGTTTTCTTCGGTGTTTTCCTAGATGCATGAGTACCCCTCTTGGAAATATCACATTAATCATGTGTGAAATAGGATTTCCAAATCGATAGGAATAATACGCAGCATAATAATAATCCAGCTTTTTTACTAAAACAATCACAGTATCCCAATCCGCAATATTGCAATTTAGTGTAGGCATATACGTATTTATCCAATCTAACTCGTTAGGTAATTCTCCAAAAACATATTGTCAGAATTCTAAACAAGAGTAGTTACGATCCTCATACCAACTTGATATTTAAAAATGCTACATTACTCAAATTTCACGATAATCGTAAGATAATTATAAACTAGCCCATTTTGAAAACTTATTTAAACGGTAAGTACATAATTAGCCATTTCCTAAACGAGCAGGGTACTGGGTCTAGTCGCGAAACCCAAAGCATCTATGGACTGTTTGGAGGGACAAAAGATTTCAGACTTATATTTCCTGTGCCTCCAAACAGTCCATAGATGCTTCGCGGCTCGCGACTAGACCGCCTGCTCGATTTGGAAATGGGTTATTACAAGGCAAGGAATGCTAATCAATTTTACATTCCAGCTGATTTGAGATCATGACGTCATAAGGCGTCTCGACAAAACTGAGCTATCATACGCCTGGTGTTTTTGTCCTTAATCTTCTAACTAATAGTAGTAAAAAGAGACGAAAATTTTAAATTCTAATTTACATTTGGGAAAAAATAAACGTGTTTTCGCTAGATATAATAAAACTACTTGATATTTTGGAGTGTCAAAGTCACATGCAATATGAAGGAAATGATAATTCAGTTTTGTCGAAGCCTCTGATTTACTGATTTTTGTACCCAGATGATTTTTATACCCTGGTTACAACTGCAAGAAGAAGTCCTCAAATAATATCAATGATCACTTCTTTACAACAATTTCAATAATAATAAAATGAATACATAGTGCATCATATACCAAAAAAATGAAAAAACATCTCGGCCCATCATATTCTCTAGCAAATTGATCTATAGCAAATTAACATAATTAACAATGTTCATATAATTATCACTGAGATATACGTAGTATATGAAGAGGTTTGATACACATAACAAGCCAAGTGGTTTCCCATCAAAACCTCCTCGTCACATAAATACCATATCTTGTAACTCTTTCTAATATACTCTTGTAAATTAATACTTTTTTCTTGAACATTGTAAATAATTATATAATTGTGACTATGTAATTTGTGTGACAAATCTATTCAATTCCAAATTCCAAAAATATTTATGTTAATTTGTTTTAAGCCTTATAAATCGTAGATATAGAAATAAAATAAAGGATGGTCTGCGGAGGGTTTACTTTATTTATCTCTCATTTGTATAGAAAGAGTGTTTCTGAAAGCGTAGCTTTGTATGAATTTTGAGAGAACAAATGTCACTACAAAACTTTCAGCAACGACGTCAAACACGTACAGAATAGATATTCCAAAGACGAAATTTAACGTGACAATTTTGTGGTGTTTTGAACTTGAGATTTGAACATTTGCTTAAGCTGAGAGAACCCATAATCCATAATGGCGTAATTAACCAGCTGCCTTTATTATAAATTCATGAATTGATTTTTGTTCGAATTTTAAATAATAATAATAGTCATACCTGCTTCCAGTGTTTTTCCATCCATAATCATTGCGTCGCATTCCACCTTATTCTTGCTATTCAAAAATGACCCACGACCAGCGTTGAAATTCACATCTTCCTCCAAATGACGAACTGCCGCCTCGACTGCGTCAACAGCTGTGCCACCATCCTTTATAAGGAAGCATCATCATTATAATTTATATGACAAAAAATCGCAGACAAGGAAAGACAGGACGCCGTAACTAATTTGCATTTTTGTGAAAATATTATTCGATTGCAGAACTATAAATTTCATAGCGTATGTTGAACTTATAGCAAACGTTGAACTTCAAGAACGACAGGAACATTTGACGATGATAAAACCATTTCGTAATTGGCTACATTTGTTACGCTCTATATAAAACATAAATATTGCCAATTATAACATTTCCATGCAGATAAGATCCTTCTCTCGATCTTTTTGTCTTTTTTCCCCGTAGTTCAAATTTTATTATTGTTTTCATCAGTTTTGTATAGTGTATGCCATTTTCAGCTACTATACGGTAATTTGGTAAGCTTGAACTATACTATCTTCATTGACTAAGTTAAAATAACTGTGCATATTATCATAAACATACAGGCCTGCAATCGGACGATGTCTGAGTAATCGTTAAACTCGCTATGAATAGTACTATTTTGCTTCTATAGATAACACATTTTGCTGACCTCTAAGAACTGATACCCTTTTTTGGCAGCCTCTTCAATTCCCTTCATGAAAATTCCCATGAGCCCTTTCTCCTTAAGCAAACGATTATACAATCCACCATGTACAATAATAATCCGTAGACCTCTGTTCGGAAAATCACCCGTACCTTAAATAATTATGATTGTATATTTTGTACTATTAGGTTAGGGAAGTGTGATACAACAATCCTCAGAAATATTCGTGCAGTTATCATTCCTGCCAGCGTGATCCTGACAACATACTGTGAGCTTTTGTTATTTCCCAGGAAAAAAATTAGCCCTTGCGAAATGCTTGACTTATGAAAGTGAAACCGATCTTCACCAGGATTACCGCATTAATTTTTAAGTGCTGGTACAGGACCACTGAAATATATATATATATATGATATATATTTTATCAGTAAAGTGCTCGATATACCAAGGTATAGAGCTAAAAAGACAATATAAAAAAACAATATACTTGGTTTACTTAAATTCATATGATTTTATTTACTACAAATTTGTTTCGTAAAACAAGCAGTGCTTGCCACACTCATCAGGTGAATTTAAATTAAGCACTGCTTGTTATATATACAGACAAAGTCAAAAAATTCCGTGATCATGCAAAAATGACGAATTGTATAGTTCAGAACTTTGTGCGATGATTAACTAGAGCACAGTCCAACTATATTAACTGACAAAAAATAGGTTTAGTGTAAAATTTTCACCTTGGTTTGAGGCTATTGCTGACTGATCCGATGATGGCGTTGGTTTCTCTGCCATTTCACCTTAAAAAAAGGATAAACATTGTCCAGTATGATTTTTAATGTCAAAGTATACAGAGCTTGTTTAAAAACAAAGAAGTCATCACAAGTTTCTAGCATGCCCTGGCACGAACGAAAGCTTAGTTATAAGTCGAATTAGTGATTAGAATACCTATCTCATGTGAATTTTTTTTCAAAGAACGAATTCAAGGCTTTTACGAGATCTTTCCTTGAGTGATGCGATGTAGATTTGATTAGTGGCCTTGCCAGACGAGTTATGATAATTGTCATTTCACTCGTAATTTATTGTTTTCACAGTCATGCAGCGAGCATAGCAGGACTAAATTGTCACGACATTTTCTTTTATGAATACGTTGTCGTAGGTATTAATTTTATGTGCAACCATGCATATATAATCACCACAAATTGTCTTCCAGAATTTTCTGCTAAAATATTATACAACTAGCATAATATTGCTTTTTGCACGAAAGATTGTACACAACAGAAAACGTCTCTCGACCTTCACCACGCGTCAGATGATGTATATAGGATACCAGGCAAGTAAAAATGCAATTTTTTCTAAATTAGCTAAACTATTTTGTCCGTACTTTATCATAAGAATATTCCAGAATATTCAATTTTAATATGTCTGATGGAAACACGCCAATTTGTTTTCAATGTTATCGTGACGAAGATACGCTTTAAGATAATTATTCTCTATTTGGAATTCAATGACTGCGCAGTTTCATTCTAAAACCTGCAAGAGACTTACAAATACAATATTGTTTTCTAGGAATACCATTTGCAAACCTAGAAATACTTGCCCAATGAAAGTGAAACTGATCTGTACTGATCTAAATAATTTTATATCATGGGGAGTGAAACTATACGGATTTCGGGGGGGGGGAGTGTTATTCATATACACTGTTCTGCCGATGGATTTCTTTTGACCCATTGACTTCGTTCATTTTCGCGCTTGTATACCATGAAGTATCTACAAAACACTAGTAAGTATAGATTGCAGTGACGTAGCAATGCCGCCTGACAATTTAGTCCTGCTATACTAATATTTTAGTGCATCTTGATTATGAAAACAAATAATTTCTGCAGAAATGAATAATGATAATTTGCACATCAAGGACTACGACGCTGACACTTTGTATGAAAGATCGAATCCACTCCATTGAAACTCCACTCCACAAATCAATTGAAAAATGAACCTGTGCAGTTGTAGAGTAACAACCAAAATAATAGTACGAGTAATGTTTGAAATATTTATGAAAATTAGAAGAGCGGGAAGGGCGAGTTCAATTTTCCCAAATTTGAAACATCACGCGTACTATTCTAATAACCCCTAATTGTACCAGTAACACTACATGATTTTTGGCAGGGCCGTGCGCAGGATCTTTAAGCTAGAGGGGCAGTGATGCTTCAGTAAGGAGGTCAAGATCTACTTCCACTACCATTATTGATACGAAAATTCATGACGTATTACGATTTCGTTACGCGGAACTTTTAAAGCGTTAAGATTGTGACATCCGTAAAGGCCCGCACAGGCACGGTCACGAATTGGCAACACGGCGCGAATTTTCAACGTTTTTCATTTTTCAAAATCAAACAAAATTATTTTAAAACTATCATAATTTTCTTGTATAATTATTACATAACAATAATTCATTTTGACTGCTCTGCGTCCATCGATTCCAAATTTGTCTTCCAGAATTCAATTTACATGCATCTGAAAACTCAAAATTCGCATCGCGTTGTCGCTTCGTGTCCACCTTAATAAGTAAATAAACATGGCGGAGTATAGCGGCTAAATTCACATCAAAAACTTTAATCACAATCCTTAAGTCTCACCAAACAAAGGAGAAACATTATACAATTAAAAACCAAGTAATATTATTAGAAAACTACTGCAGAAAATGAATTGTCTTCCAGAATTTTCTGCTAGAATATTATACAACCAGCATAATATTGCTTTTTGCACGAAAGATTGTACACAACAGAAAACGTCTCTCGACCCTCACCACGCGTCAGATGATGTATAAAGGATACCAGGCAAGTAATCATGCAATTTTTTCTAAATTAGCTAAACTATTTTGTCCGTACTTTATCATAAGAATATTCCAGAATATTCAATTTTAATATGTCTGATGGAAACACGCCAATTTGTTTTCAATGTTCTACAACAATGAATATCTCTCATTCAATCTTGATACGTTTTGGAAGGTTGTTACGTTCGTCAATATGAGCAGTTTACCACATTTAGATAATTTTATAATATAACATTTATAGTAGGCGCGTGCTGATTGGTCGAGAGGCGTGTTTCTATAACTGTATAGAAACACGGAAAATGTTTCTTATATGAAAATAATATTTTAAAAATTGTGGTATGCGATCGTTGTGTGATTTCATTTCAAGCAATGTAAACAAATTGAATCATAACAACTGACGTGACCAAGATGGTTAATCTTGCATGGGCTAAATGGAATGGCATTCTGGAATTCTTTTTTCTTTTGGCGAACAATTTTAGGGAAAGCTATTGGCAACATGCAACACTTGAAGCTGTTAGCGCGGTCGCCAGGAAAACTAAATAATTATAATGTGTCTAAGGTCATCGACATAGTTTTCGTGACAAATAAACACTTGGTAATTATTTGAAAAGCAATGACAATTAATGACTACACCTAGTTGCCATTCCAAAACCAGCATGGAACTCAATACAACTGTAAACTATACTTTGTTATTTTGTGATTGCTATTTTTATGCAAATATTTATGTAGAGACATGAAGTGTTCCGCGAGTATCGCGGGCGCGGACAGTACGCAGTAAGAACGTTTTTGATTTTGAAAGTGTAAGATAGAGAGTTTATGATAGCACGTTTTGAGTTATTTCTATTCGCGAAAGGTGAATAACTTTGAATCTAGCGCGTAGCGCTGAATTGAGTTAGATCAAATAAAACATTCAAAAGTTAAGAGTTTCAGAGTCGTAGTTAAAGTCTACATCATTCAAAGTTATTATACGATAGAGCGAAGACGAAGTTGTTTCGAATAGAAAGGATTGCGAAAGAAGAAGATTGCAGTATTTGTGAACGAAAGGTGTTCAAGGTGCTACAGTATATGAGTATATCTAATGATTACAAAGCTAAAAGATATGAATTATTCACGAATTTTCACGAGTTAAATTCGAAAGTCAGGATTGAACTGTTACTATGGCAACAAGCGAAAAGAGTGTTCAGGAAATTCAAGTGGAAGCACGATTAAGCGAGGGACAGTCAGAGGGTGGTGGAGAAAGGCCAGTAACTGCCACCGACGTAGAGCAAGAAAGGAATAAATCGCTGGAAGAATTTAAGAAGGAACTAAGTGTAATACAACAACTCACGAGAGATCTTAAGACAGAATCAAGGCAAGTAGAAGCAAGCAAGGCCAAATACGAAGATGCATTTCATAAATTCGTCATTAGTCACGAGCGGTATATGGAACAAGAGAGTGATCAAGGGAAACGAAACTTGATGACGGATAGTTACAACAACCAGAGAGACCTCAAGCTGCAAATAGACTGTGTAATTAGCATGTGGGAGATAAATAAAGAACGGTTTGCAGCACCACCTTCTGAATTCAATCTCAGTGTAGCCTCTCGGATGAGTAGAAGGAGCAAAGCATCATCAAGCCGAAGTAGTGCGAAGGAAAGGAGAAAGGCGATAGAAGAGGTAAAACTGAAGATGGAAGCCATGAAGAAAAAACACGAGTTGGAACGTCAACTCGAAGTGACAGAACAGGCTAAGGTTGAGCTAAATAGGAAGCTAAATTTGCTCGCTGCAGAGACAGAACTCAAGCAAGCAGAGATGGACTTCGTGATTGATCAGGTACCTGAAGAGGAAGGAATGGACGGAATGAATGCATACCTCCAAGATCACCAGATGAAGAAAAACGTAACTAGATCAGAAGTGCTTCCACAAGATGAAAATAATCCCGCCCAAGAAAATCCAGTTGCTCTTGACCCATCTACGAAAGAATTCATACCCCGACCTCAGCCACAGGAAATCGTGATCCCGCAAGAAAACACAACAGCTCCAACCGATGCTTGCACAAACTGAGGCATGGAATTCTATTGCACAGGCAATAAGAGAGGGACCCTCTCTCCCAAAAATTGAGCTTTTAAAGTTTAGCGGTGACCCATTGGAATATGCGGAGTTCACATCAAACTTCAAAGACAACATTGAAGCCCAGGTTCTCGACGAAGGACAAAGATTCACTCGTCTATTGGCACAATGTGTCGGCAAAGCTAGAGAGGCGATTCGCAGTTGTGTGAATCTTGAAGCTGGTACAAGGTACAAAGAAGCTAAAGAGTGCCTTCTGCGCAACTTTGGCAAGTCTCACATGATCGTTGAAGCCCACCTAGAGAAGATAAAAGGACTGCAAATTAGGAAAGCTGATGCAAGCGCATTAATGGAATTTGTTCGTCACTTGGAAGATAGCGAGAGAACTCTGAAGAGCATGGGTTCCAATTACTCTAACAGGCTCGATAACGAGGACATCATTATCATGTTGATGAGGAAATTACCGGAGGAGAACTTGAAGAGAAAATGGGCTGACAAAGCAGGAGACCTGATCCAAACAAAGGGCATCGCACAATTATTTTAATGACTTTGTTCAATTCCTGAAGAGTGTTGCTGAGCGTAGAAATAATAGATATGGAAGGGAACTCAAGTCAGAGAAAGACGTTAAGAACTATCAGGGTAATGTAAAGTCAGGGCAAACAAAGGGAATCCATGTGTATGCAACCCAGAATGAAGAAAGAGGCATCTGAAGAGGGAATAGGACATGTAAACAATGTTCTGGCCAACATGGAATCTGGAGATGCTTGGAGTTCAAAGCGTTGTCTTTTAAGGACAAATTGAAAGTGATCAATTAAAAAAAGCTGTGCAGATTGTGTCTTGGCGAAGGTCACTTCGCTAGAGCATGTAGGAGTGGTTTTACCTGCCGCATTCCTGGATGTGGAAAACCTCACCATCAACTGATACATCCCAGCACCGAAGAAGAAAAGGATCCCCCTAATAAAGAAGATGTGACCAAGACCGACCCTGCCAAGACTGACCAGAAACCCCCAGAGGGCCAAGATGCCTCCAGACAGATACAATCGAGCTCAGCTGCAAATGTCAGCGCGATTCGAACTAGTCGACCAAGAGTTTGCTTTAAAGTGGTGCCAGTAAAGGTTCAGAGTGTAACAGGTGATACCGAACTTATCACGCATGCATTCTTAGATAGTGGTTCAGATACCACACTCTGCCTGGAGAGTTTGATCCACCAACTCGGCATTCATGACTCCAAGTCAGCAGAATACACCATGACGACTGTGAACTCTCAACAAAAGAAATCTGGATACGAGATACAGCTTGATGTGAAGTCAGTGACCGGCAACGAGACCTTCCGGCTTGAAAGAGTTCTAACCACTGATCGTTTACCAGTAAATACAAGTCACATCGCAACCAATGAAGAAGTCCGAGAGTGGCCACATCTCCAAGACGTTACCTTGCCCGAGACAGGAGACAAGCAAGTCACTATCCTGATAGGGGGTGATAGACCGGACATTATTGATAATTATCTTGAAAGAAGAGACGGCCAAAGAGGACAACCTTGCGCTGTGAGGACGCCATTAGGGTGGACAGTTTTCGGTCCGATTGGTTCGCAAGGAGACGAGAAGGTCTCAATTAACTATTCACGCTCTGAGTACGAAGTCCTAGAGCAGAAGTTAGAGCGGATGTACAACGTGGAATTCAATGATCTGAGTGATGACGTCGAAGAAAACCCGTCCTTTCAGGATCGACAAGCACAAGAAATGATGGTTGAAACGACAGTTCTGAAAAATGGGCATTATCAAGTCGGTCTACCCTTCAAACATAACACTCCACACTTCACGAATAGCCTTCCCACAGCAGAAAGAAGATTAAGTTACCTGAAATCAAGGATGGAAAGAGACGAGAACCTCCGAAAGAAATACAGTACTGTTATGAACGAGTACCAAGAAGAAGGAGCGGCTAGAGTAGTCCCCGAAGAAGAGTTATCAAAGCTACAGCCCTTATGGTATTTGCCGCACCATGCGGTATGGCATCCAAGGAAACCGGGAGAGCCTAGAGTGGTTTTCGATTGCGCGAGCAAAACAGAAGGAACTTCACTGAATGACGAACTATTGCGAGGACCAGAGAATACGAGTACGCTTATCGGGGTGATGCTTAGATTCAGAGTCGAAACTGTGGCGGTAACGGCAGACATTAAAAGAATGTTTCACCAAGTTCACGTGATTCCAGAACATCGCGGTGTGCTCTGTTTCTTATGGTGGCCGGATGGTGACATCACCAAAGCCTCAAAAACGTACCAAATGCTAGTACATCTTTTTGGCGCCAAGTCATCCCCCAGCGTCGTGGGATACGCCCTTAGAAGAACCGCCAAAGATAATGCTGAAGATCATCCCCCTGAGGTGATTGACGCCGTCCTCCATGATTTTTATGTGGACGACCTCCTAAAGTCGTATACAACCCCGGACATAGCGGTATCAGTAAGCAAGAAACTAGAGAATCTGTTAGCAAAGGGTGGCTTCAAACTTACCAAGTGGAATTCGAACTCACGCGAAGTGCTGGAACAATTCCCACCTGAATCTCGAGCTCCTGTAGTCAAAGATCTGAATTTGAAATCGGAAGAAGCCTTGCCCGTAGATCACGCTCTCGGTCTTAGATGGGACGTTCAAAGGGACACTATTGTCCTTGTCGCTAGTAACAAGAAGGAACCTAGCAATCAGAAAGGTGTTTTATCATCGATAGCAACGATCTATGATCCCTTGGGCTTTGCCGGTCCTCTGATCTTGCCCGGTAGAGAAATAAATCAAGAGTTATGCAGATTGAAGCTTGATTGGAATTGCGAACTCCCAACGGAACTGCATAAACGTTGGATCACATGGAAAGAAGATATGGCGAGTCTCGATAGATATGAGTTGGAACGATGTTTCAAGCCAAAGGATTTCGGAAAGCTTAGGGAAGTCGAATTGCATCACTTCTCGGACGCATCGCAGGAACATGGATACGGAACAGTGTCTTATTTGCGCCTAGTTAACGACGCTGGAAGAGTACATTGCAGCTTCGTCATGGGCAAAGCGAAGGTCAAACCCCTAAAGAAGGCAGTCACGGTTCCGAAGTTAGAGCTTACAGCAGCAGCGTTGGCAACGCGAGTAAACAGAATCATCGTTAAAGAGTTGAAAGGGCGACTCGATCTTGACAGAGTTCTATACTGGACTCGATGATCGTCCTCAGATACATAGCAAACGAGTCCCGACGCTTCGTCATCTTCGTTGCCAACAGCGTCGCAGCCATCCGCGAAGAGTCTAAGCCGGAACAGTGGCGTCATGTCAAATCAGAGCTTAATCCAGCCGATTACGCCTCCAGAGGTATCAGAGCTTCCGAAGAAGAAAAACTGGAGCGATGGCGACTCGTCAAGCTTGGTCCGAGGACCAGATCGAAAAAGAGCGAATCGTTAGGGAAACGTTACGGTTGTATCTTCACGTGTTTGAAGTATAGAGCGGTGCACATCGAAATAACAGAAGACCTGTCTGCCGATAGCTTCATCAACGCTGTTTTACGCTTCATTGGTCGAAGAGGAGCTCCACGCATCATTTGTAGTGACAACGGCACGAATTTTAAAGGTGCAGAGAAAGATCTACTCCAAGCGTTGAAAGAATGGGACCAACAAAGAATACAAGGTTCGTTATCCAGAAGGAATATTGAGTGGAAGTTCAACCCTCCGGCCGCGAGCCATCAGGGAGGCGTTTGGGAACGTCTGATACGTTCTACTAAGAAGATCCTCCGTTCATTAGTTGGAAACCGTGAATTAAACAACGAGAGCCTGAGAACGTTTATGGTAGAAGTAGAGAAAATAATGAACGACAGACCTATCACGCCAGTATCCAGTGACCCAAATGATCTCGAAGCTTTGACGCCAAACCATATACTATTGCTTCGTCAAAATTCCTCCACGTCAGCGGGAAAGTTTGGAGATCTAGACGGTTACAACGCAAGATGGAAATATATTCAGATGTTAGCCGACAGTTTCTGGAAAAGATGGGTAAGCGAATACTTGCCGACCTTACAACAAACTCAAAAATGGTTACAGAAAACGCCTAATCATAATGTCGGGGACCTAGTGATGCTGGTGAATAAAGACGTCCCTCGAGGTCAATGGCCAAAGGGATTGATCACGGAAGTCTTTCCAGACGTCGATGGAATTGTGCGACGAGTCACGATCCGGACAGCAGACGGCATTTATCAAAGAGACATCAGAAAGATATGCCTTCTAGAGAAGAAACTTCTAGACGAATAGATGTAAAGGTTAACTGGAACGTTCGATTAGTTTATACATTATGATGTTAATATTTGTTAAGAAAGACTCCTCCGTCGCTTTCCGAGGTGGAGCGTGTAGAGACATGAAGTGTTCCGCGAGTATCGCGGGCGCGGACAGTACGCAGTAAGAACGTTTTTGATTTTGAAAGTGTAAGATAGAGAGTTTATGATAGCACGTTTTGAGTTATTTCTATTCGCGAAAGGTGAATAACTTTGAACCTAGCGCGTAGCGCTGAATTGAGTTAGATCAAATAAAACATTCAAAAGTTAAGAGTTTCAGAGTCGTAGTTAAAGTCTACAATTTATGTTATTTCAGATCTAATTTTAGCGTCAACAAAATGCGCATAAAAACCGTCATTGAAGTCAATAAAAAATTGCCAATAATTTGTTTTCAAAGTTATCCTAGGCCCCCTAATGCCATCTAGATCCTTTACAGCCGTTTTTTTCCGTAATAATAATCTTCAAAGTTCTCAGAAAGTGGAGTTTAATAATAACTGATTATTTACCCAGCGTGGATATAATTCGGGTTTAATGGTTTTAAAATTAGAAAATCACGCATCAACACATATCACGCGATGATGTAAATCTCGCCAAATATCTTGTTCACCACTTTGACAAAGTACACCATAGCATGCAATAGTTTTAGTTTACGTCGACACCATTAATTTTACAGTGGCATTTAAAGCAATCTCCTTGCAGGTGTAAATGTTATTAACTCCAAGTTAATTTAGAAAGCCACTTTGACTTCCAGCCAAGTGCATTGCTTGAGCCTGCACAAAAATATGTACGATCATGTACATGTAAATAAACTCTGCTATAGATAGTCTTTCAAAGAAATTCCTAACGGAAGCGCCATGTTTATTGATAACCTGAGCACGGATAAAAATGGGTCACGGGTACCAAATTTGGCCGTGCTAATAATAATATTACTGCAGAGAAACGGGGCTTTTAATGCCATTTTGTTTAGATTGGAATTTAACATACAAATGCATAATCTCTTTTACATATTGTGTGACTTTCTCGTCATCGAACTAATTATGTCAACATGGTCTATATAAGTGCCATGATTCTCGCTGTTAAGAATCCAAATTGACCCCAAAAAACTCAAGGGTCTGTGACACAATTTTAGATTTATGTGGTATTAGCCAATTTAAAAGTTTATTCCAATGAAATAATGGCCCGAAAGATTTATACAATCACTGATAAGTCACACTTTTCATGCACGATTGTTCCACCAGCTATGTGTCTGACAGTAACGCCAATGTTATACTTTTTAAAGTTCTCATCGTCCTGATGTAAATAATACCATAGTTCTTATTTCCTACAACAAATAATATAAATCTTCGTACCTTTTGTAAGGTTGTAGCTGCGATGTTACGATCATGTAATTGTGAAGTCGTCGAAGGTAAAAATTTGACAGATGAATTGTTGATTGCATTAACAAATTTTCGGTAGTCTTTTACTTAGTTGCAAAAAAAGAAGACAAAACTTATGATAGTAGAGCTGATTTCTATTTAGTTAATCTATCAACGTCCTAAAATCTGACAAAAAGAAATCCTTCAATTTTCCCAGTTCTTATCGTGACCAAGATATGCATTAATTATCTTAATTCTGTATTCGGAATTCAACGACTGCGCAGTTATCATTCCAAAACCAGCAAGAGACTTACAAATACAATATTGTTTTCCAGGAATAACATTTGCAAACCTAGAAATACTTGCTTAATGAAAGTGAAACTGATCTGTACTGATCTAAAAGATTTTATATCATTGGGGTTGAAACTATACGGGGGGGGGGTTATTCATATACACTGTTCTGCCCGATGGATTTCTTAATTTTGACCCATTGACATCGTTCATTTTCGCGCTTTTATACCATGAAAATATCTACAAACACTGATACGTACAGATTGCAGTGACGTAGCAATGCTGCCTGACAATTTATTCCTGCTATACTAATATTTTAGTGCATCTTGATTAAGAAAACAAATAATTTATGCAGAAATGAATAATGATTATTTGCACATCAAGGACTACGACGCTGACACTTTGTATGAAAGATCAAATCCACTCCATTCAAACTCCACTCCACAAATCAATTGAAAAATGAACCTGTGCAGTGGTAGAGTAACTACCAAAATAATAGTACGAGTAATGTTTGAAATATTTATCAAAATTAGAAGAGCGGGCAGGGAGAGTTCAATTTTCCCAAATTTGAAACATCACAAGTACTAGTACTATTCTAACAACCCCTAATTGTACCAGCAACGCTATAAAATTATGATTATTGCATGGCAAGGCCGTGCGCAGGATGTTTCAACAATAATTCATTTTGACTGGTCTGCGTCCATTGATTCCAAATTTAACTTCCAGAATATCATTTACATGCTTCTGAAAACTCAAAATTCGCGTCGCGTTGTCGCTTCGCGTCCGGTCTGTGTCCACCTTAATAAGTAAATAAACATGGCGGAGTATACAGCGGCTAAATTCACATCAAAAACTTTAATCACCATCCTTAAGTCTCACCAAACAAAGCAGAAACATTATACAATTAAAAAGTAAATAATATTATTAGAAAACTACTGCATGCAGAAAATGACAATAATACAGTAAATTGAATTTCGGTTCTTCGTCTACTTATCCACTTCCATTTTCAGCCCCCAAACCAAAACGGTACTCGCGACTTCCAGTGTTATCAGATTTTTGACGATTGTTACGTTTGCGCATTTGCCTGATTGAATATTGCTAGCGTTACACGTAGCGGATCGAAGTCGATCTTAACCTCCCTAACGTACTACCGACGACGCGAAACGACGAGAGGTTTTTTAATGACATTACATTACCACTTGTAAAGTTGTAAAAAAAACCTTGACAATGAGGCCTCTTGTTACGTTAAACTTTACTGCTTAACTTTTGAACCTCGCTCTGCCAGAAAAAAAACTCTTCGGGTTGACGCGTTAAGGCGTGACTTACAGTACTAGAAAACAAAGGTCCCATGGGGGGTTTAGAGAGTTTAAAGTGAACTTTCTAGACGTACATGAGCCCATTAGGAAGGTTATAAATTGCCTGTCATACATGCATAACACAAAGACTAGCCCGTGTTCCGTCCCCGTCGGCTGAAATTTTATATTGACTACATTTTTATTGTTGTATTTAATCATTGTAATAAAAGAAAATAATGTAATAAAATATCCATGAAAAAAAAACTTAAAAGCATGCGTTGATACGTACTACATAGAAATAATTATATTTGCTAACTTAGTAATTTAGGGTCCAATATTCATAATTTACGGTAATTCTATGTCGTTAATAATTGAAGGCCTCAACTTTTTAAGCTTCAAAATTGTCTTGACAATTGGAAGCTTGCAGGTTATAACAATTGTTTTCACTTATACTATTTTATTATTTGCTGTAATCATATTCCTCGCAACATCTCGCAGTATTAGAAGATAAAAAGGTGTTAGAATGCGAGACGAATATAGAGGCTGAAAATAAACAATGGCTCATTTTCAAAAACTTTTGACGAAACAGTATAATAGAGGCACATGCAGATAATTATTTTTCATCGGTTAAATGTAATTTATGAAATGAATGAAAAAAAAACTTTATTATTGGAAACGTATGTGCATGGCTACATCTTCTCAATTCTAAAACCCTTCATCTTCGATTAAACTTTGAAAAATAAAAATTTAAGTTTAACTCTTTGAAAAATAAAAATTTAAGTTTAACTGATTTTCTGTAAACATTACGACCAACATTCTTCAACCACTTTGTGGACTGGCATAATTCTTTCCGCACTTCCTTGCTTATGTGATGTCTCTCCTCGTACAACGCTACTGAACGGCATATCCGTACGGACATGGTCGCCATAACCGTCCTTTAATGAAAATGTTTGAACATGATCCACGCAGTATATAGATGAAACAAAAGCCTTTAAATCCATATCCGCTTCCATTCCTTAAATACACTTGGCCAGTTATGATCACGATTTGTACAAAATTCCGAGGCACAAGTGAAGGTGATTTATTTAAAGCACAAGATCAATAACCACTTGCTTGGTGTGATGATAAATAAGGAAGCAAAAAATGAAGCCAACAAATAAACGCATGGGTGTATATCGTTTAGTCGACTGAAGCACTGTCACAATACCCAACCCTTCACATGCATGTCCATGCAACCCTTCACCTGTCCAATACTTTAACACCGGTAACATATTTCGATTTGATGGCTTTTCCTTTTCTAATTCAGTGAGTAGCATGATCACGGTATACCATATGATGAGTTGAAGGTGCATTCATTTTCTCAATGTAAAATAATTGTTCTTGCAGTCTTGCGGATTTCTAATTTTCGTATTTGAAGCAATTATTGTTTCAAATTTGCCCGATTTTTGTTACGCCGATGAAATAACTGTGAAGACGTTAGTCAACAATTGTTAAAAAAATGTCATGAGTGTTCAACTGGGTCGTAGAAGATAGATCGCTTTGATTGATGTTATCTTTTTTTCAAACAGAAGGCAAAATATTGAACTATTTCATATGTTTTTAACGATGTTTTCGGCGTTGCAAGTTCAAGTCCTTATCACTGAACAACGCTTTGATGATCCTCACATATTTTACGTCCTTCTTCATTGCGGAAACACATCAATACAATACGCGTGATGTCGGTCCACTAGGTTTTAGAATGTTGGCTAAAGTGTATGTTATTTCTTATCTATAAATAAGTATCAAGTTATATCTGAAAGAGTTTGATGTTTACAACGTTGTAAAAAAAATTAAAACTCTCCTCTTTCTTGATGGAAGTTTAAGCATACTTTGAGAACCTCATTTATTAATGGTGGGTAGGTACATAGGTTTTACAATGGAAGATTTTTTCAGTCTGCGAGAAAATTATTTTAACTCGACAAATACGATTTTATGTTTAGCGTGTTTCCAAGCTTTGTCTGAAGAGCTTTGTGAAAGTAAAATGTTTTTTAAATGCAAATCCATCAAATTTACAAACTAGATTCCTTGATTGGTATAAATATAACTCTTATTGGAATAACAGAAAATTACAGAACAAAAATCAATTAATAAATAATTTTGACTTTTTTACTAAATTCAGTTTCCTTAAAATTTCTTAACATTAGAAGGTGCCGCATATAAATTAAATATTTGTGTTATCGTAAGAAAAATCTGGAATTTCGCAATTGAAGGTTAACTTTTCCAGATATTATTTGATACATGCACTTTATTTGCTACATGCAAATACATGTACCAAAATATATCTCGGAAACGCTGAACAGAACGGTGTTAGCTTGCATTTGTTTTTCCAAGTAATTTTTTTTGCTATGTCGCGCATGCCTGAAACAAGTACATTTATTTCTGGGGAGCAAGTTAAAATGCTTGTACAAAAAGTTTAATCTGCAAAGTCAAATAAAGTGCTGCTTCCAATACTAAAAATTTTATACAGGCAACCACCTCTCTTATATTCAAAAATATAACTATTTGATGTAAGCCGTAATGAGTGAAAATAATAATAGAACATTTGTTTGCTAGCGTATTGTTTTGACACTTGAACCGAAATTTAAGAACTTACGCAAAGCCAATAATAACGAAGGGATGAAAGCCTGGTTCATGCAAGTTGCAAAAAAATGCTATTCCCCCTCTTGGGACCAGCGAATAAGTATGCAAAAAATGGGGATAGGGAATTCTTGCAATTAACTAGAGTGCTGACAAGGCTTAATTAAATCACATTTTGAATTGAAATTGATATATACTTACGGCTTGGCGATAACTGCAACACTGCATACCAATCGTATTTCGCCCAACGCACTATCACACTTTGAATACAGGAAATGTCCACTGACAATGATTTAAAAAACAGAATATTTAAAATTCGATACAGACTAAACAAAGCTATATAATTTAATTACTTACAAACTTTAGGGTAATACAACAAAACCTGAGAACATTTCACGTGATTTATCTCTGATACTTTCGATGTCATGTTTCTGAAAAACCACATCCTCCCCGTAGATGGTAAATGGGGCCCAGATTGTGTAAGACCGGTAAGCCTGGATTTGATGTTTTTGGAAGAGATTCTTTGTTTTTCTTAGGGCTTCACAAACCGATGTTCCCTGGCACAACTCACCATAAAATACTTCCATAAACTCTTTCGTGGCATCATCACTAATGGGCCATAGTGTGGCGAGAACAGTGCGAGCGCCGGCTGCTATAAATGCCCGAGCAATACCTACGACACCTTCGGAAGAAATCTCACCTTGCCCGGTATGGCAACAGCATAAAACTACCAAGCTAGCTAGCAAAGAAGTATTTACAATATCCTTCTGTGAGAGAAGGTAGTCGTCTGGATAAGGAAGAGTCGAAAATGGCCGAGTCGAAGAAACGTTAGGGGAAAGCATTATTTCACCTCGAAGTTGTTCACCGTGAGCAGCGATATGGATTATGCTAGCCCCAGATAAAAGATCCAGTACAACCTGTTTTCTAGCTTCACGCCCCACTAAGGGTCTAGCATTGAAGAGCTTTGAAAGACATTCAACTTCTCTAGCAGCATTTGGTAGGGCAGGGGGTGAAAATTATTTTCCATTTAAGGAAACCGTTCCAACGGTTGGATTACCAACAAACAACGCAAAACCAAGGCCGAGATCTTGAGAGCGTTCATTGCTAAGCCTTAGAGTGTGTAATGATGGCGTAACTTGAATGCTGTAATTGTGGGATAAATGACAACCATTTTCATCAATCAATGACGAAAATGGGACAAAAAACAATTGCTTGTCAGGAACAACTATAAGTTTATTGCCTTTAATCACATCGCTTACAGGGTCAATAAGTAGTTTAAACAATGTTTTCAAAATACCGTCTTGGTTTAAATCATCATGCCCAACAGAAGGTTTCTGATAAAGATTTTTGGACGGAGATTTTTCTTTAAAAACGTCCAAAGGAAGAATCGATTTTTCATCAATACTGGGCACTGAATTGAGTTCGAAAAACGAAGAATCCCGATTAACATTCACATTCACCATTTTGAACAATTCATTTATCAGTTGCACAAATGTTTCCAATCGTGCCTCTGATTTTGACACTCTATATCTAAAGATTACTTCTTTATTCAACACCCAAACATTTAGAAAACCTGGCCAATCGAAAGCAAATACTATAATGGAACTATCGTTGCTACTTACCTGGAGGATGCTTTGTAATTCTTCGATTTCTACCTGTTCTTCACCATTCTTGATTCTATTCCATCCCGAACTTGCATAATCGAACATTTTTGTATTCAAAGATTTCTTTTTTCTTTCAATGGAGCAATGAAGTTCTTTAGCCCTTCCAAGGTCAATGACTAATAATGCAGATTCAATGCGACCCACAGAAATAAAACAAATCATGATCTTTACATGGGTGGTAAAGTATTGTTTAGTGAATGACAACTTATTTTGGTCTGGTACTGAGTTTAAAAACATTTTGTCAAGGATGCTGATAGATTCCATGAAACATGATATTGCACCTTTATATTGTCCTAATAATACAAGTACAAATCCCAAATTGCTTTTACTAATTGCTAAGAGTGACGGATCATTAATATCAATGCTTATTTCTAAAGCTTTCTTGTAATAGTCAATGGCTTTCTCATATTCTCCTAATCCAAGGTAGGCACTGCCCAAATTCAATTTCTGAGTGGCTATTGCAGATTTATCGCTCATACCAGTACTAATTTCTAATCCCTTTCTGTAACAGTCAATAGCTTTCTCGTATTCTTCAAAGCTATGGTAAGCACTGCCCAAATGACAATAGCTCTTTGCTATTCCGGACTTATTGCCAATGGCAGTACTCATTTCTAAACTTTTTTTGGAATAATCAATAGATTTTTCATATTGTCCTAAACATCTAAAAACAACGCTCATATAACAATTGACCTCTGCTATTTGATACTTATCGCCAATAGCGGTGCTAATTTCTAAACACTTTTTTTGACAATCAATAGATTTTTCATACTCTCCCAAGAATATATGAGCAATGCCCAAACCGCCATTCGCATCTGCTATCCCTGATTTATCGCCAATAATAGTACTTATTTCCAAACCTTTTTCGAGGTAATCAATAGCTTTGGCGAATTCTCTCAAATAACGGTAGGCGATGCCCAATTTGACATTGCTTGTTGCTATGCCTGACTTATCCCCTATAGCAGTACTCATTTCTAAACCTTTTTTGTAATAATAAATAGCTTTCTCATACTCTCCAAAACTAACGCAAATATCACCCAAATTGCCATTCCAAGATGCTATTCCTTCCTTATCACAAATATAGCGACTTAATTCCAAGCATTTTTCGCAATAGTCAATGGTTTTCACAGAGTCTCGTAATCCAAGGTAGGCATTTGCCAAGTCTTTTCATTGTTATTTGCTATTCCTGACTTATTATCAACAGCAGTACTCATTTCTAAACCCTTTTTGCAATAGTCAATAGCTTTCTCATACTCTCCTAAATTGAGATAGGCTTTACCTAACACTCCACTGTTTCTTGCTATTTCTAAGTTATCACCAATAGCAGTACTCGTTTCTAAACCTTTTTTGCCATAGTCAATAGCCTTGGCATATTCTCCCAAACTATGGTAGGTTATGCCTAAATTGGCATTGTTATTTGCTGCTACTGACTTATCGCCAATAACAGTACTTATTTCTAAACCTTTTTTGAAATAGTCAATGGCTTTTTCATATTCTCCTAAACTATGGTAGGTCATGCCTAAATAGGTATTGTTAGTTGCAATTCCTGATTTATAACCAATAGCTGTACTCATTTCCAAACCTATTTTGATATAGTCAATGGACTTCTCATACTCGCCTAAATTACGGTAGGCACTGCCCAAATTCCCATTGTTAGTCGCTATTCCTGACTTGTCGCCTATAGCAGTACTCATTTCTAAACCTTTTATACAACATTCAATGGCTTCCTCATATTTTCCTAAATAGATGTAGGCATTACCCAAATTGCCATTGTTAGCAGCAATTCCTGACTTATCGCCATTGGCAGTACTCATTTCTAAACCTTTTCTATAATAGCTAATGGCTTTCTCATATTTTCCTAACTTAAGGTAAGCATTGCCTAAATTGCCATAGTTAGTTTCTATTCCTGATTTATGGCCGATAGCAGTTTGCATCTCTAAACTCTTCTTAAAAAAGTCAATGGCTTTTTCATATTTTCCTAACAGAAGATAAACATTGCCCACATTGCCATTTATAGTTGCTATACCTGATTTATCGCCAATAGCGGTTCTAATTTCTAAACCTTTGTTAAAATAGGCTATAGCCTTCTCATATTCTCCCAAACCAAAGTAGGCATTACCCAAATTGCAATTTTTACTTGCTATACCTCGCTTATCACCAATAGCAGTACTCAATTCTAAACCTTCTTTTGAATAGCCAACGGATTTTACGTATTCTCTTAATTCATTATAAACATATCCCAAATAGCCATTGTTATTGGCCATTCCTGACTTATCACCAATAGCTGTACTCATTTCCAAACCAATTTTGAAATAGTCAATGGACTTCTCATATTCGCCTAAAGTAAGGTAGGCATTGCCCAAATTGCTATTGTTGGTCGCTATTCCTGACTTGTAGCCTATAGCAGTACTAATTTCTAAACCTTTTATATAACATTCAATGGCTTCCTCATATTTTCCTAAATAGAGGTAGGCATTACCAAAATTGCCATTGTTATTTGCCATTCCTAACTTGTTGCCATTAGCACTACTCATTCCCAAACTTTTTCTGTAATAGCTAATGGCTTTCTCATATTCTCCTAATCTAAAGTAAGCATTGCCCAAATGGCCATAGTTAGTTTCTATTCCTGATTTATGGCCGATAGCAGTTTGGATTTCTAAACTATTTTTAAAATAGTCAATAGCTTTCTCATAATCTCCTAATCTAAGGTAAGCATAGCCTAAATCGCCATAGTTAGTTTCTATTCCTGATTTATGGCCGATAACAGTTCGCATTTCCAAACTCTTTTTAAAATAGTCAATTGCTTTCTCGTATTCTCCGAACATAAGGTAAACATTGCCCACATCGCCATTTACAGTTGCTATACATGATTTATCGTTAATAGCAGTACTAATTTCTAAACCTTTGTTAAAATAGCCTATAGCCTTCTCATATTCTCTCAAACGAAGGTAGGCATTTCCCAAATTGCAATTTTGACTTGCTATACCTGGCTTATCGCCAATAGCAGTACTCAATTCTAAACCTTGTCTTAAATAGCTAACGGATTTAACGTATTCTCCTAATCTAAGATAAACACTGCCTAAATTGCCATTGTTATCGGCCATTCCTGACTTATCGCCAATGGCAATATTCATTTCTAAACCATTTTTGAAATAGTCAATAGCTTTTTTATATTCTCCTAAACTAAGGTAAACACTGCCCAATTTGCCATTAATATTTGCCATTCCTGACTTGTCGCCAATAGCAGCACTGATTTCCAAACCTTTTTTGAAATAGTCAATAGCTTTGTCATGCTCTCCTAAACTATGATAGGCAGTGCCTAAATTGCCATTGTTAGTTGCCACTCCTGAGTGATTGTCAAATTGAATGAAAATTTCTAAGCTTGTTGCAAAATACTCGATAGCCTCTTCATGCTGTCCTAGGTGTAAACAGGCAGAACCCAGTTTCTCACAGGCAGTTGCTAACCCTTGAAAATTGCCAATTTCAGTACAAATTTCCTGATATTTAATGTAATAGGTAATAGCCTTTTTATACTCTGCTAATCTAAAATGGGTTTCACCTAAGTTGAGATTGATCTTTGCTCTTTCTAAGGGATGATTGTTTGCAGTGACAGATTTTGAAGACTTCGAATCCATTTCGTCACCTTTTCAAGTGTCTCTATCTTTACTTCAGACCTTAAACAAAATTATGTAAAAACTAATTAGAAGAGGTTAATTAATGTATATACCGCGCATGGAAGAGTATTTCCTTTGTTGACACTATCGAATTTTGAGGTGTTATTGTTATATCGACACTTGTAACAGTATTAATCGGACTGGTAATATAGTGATATTGAAAATGCACCATAGGGCTGTTTTTGGGACAAACCTTTGTTTACGTCCCAAAAACAGTTCCTTAACTCTTTTAAATAAACAATAATATAAGTTACTGCATTAGTATACATTCATTTCTAAGAGAGAGCCTTTGTTTACGTCCCAAAAATAGACTTAACTGGTGTTGAGTCCCTCAACCTTTTGTGCAATAGCGAATGGTTTTCGCCTTTTCGCATATTCTCCTAATCTAAAAGACAAGCAATTCCTAGCAATTGTTGCCTGCTTGTGCGTTTACAATTAGTTGAGCCGAACCATTATTATCGGCACGTTTATTTGAAAAGAAAAGCAACTGAAGGCACGGACCTTAAAACCGCTATATCAGATATTAGAAAATGAAAATGTGTTCACTGAACGGGATTGGCACGCAATCAACACTGACTGACCAATAGTAATAATGTGCCGCACTTGTCAACGGCAGAAGTGTAATAAACCATAAGCTCTTCTTCGATATTTGAGAGTACCTGGGAAATCCACGCCGATTACTGTGAAAGGTATTATTATCATCTTAGCTCTATTCATGTGCAAAAATTCAGCAGGCGGGCTTGGAATGGTTATACAACAGGAAATCTCTTACATCCATAACGTTTCTTTAGGGATCGCTTTGCCAACATACGAAAGCAAAGATTGCCGAGGAATCCAAAATTCTTCACGAACTTTCGCGTTCACAAACTTTCCGCTCTTGGACTCTGTGGACCGAAAATAGCTCTTGAATCTTGATCTATAATCTCCTGTAATGTTAATACTCTCTGGATCTTGTTGGAAGGATTTCGAGGATTGTGCTTGAATCTCAAAGCTGAATCATCAATCTTCCTTGTTTTACTCAAGCTGAACTCTTCGAACGAGAATCATCCAGGCCATTATTCTCCTTCCTCTCGGCATCAATTGTTGCTTTTGTACTTGTCACGATCTGAGGTGGCCATTCACCTGGATCAGCCAACTAGACTGGACATTTTCACCACACAACGCTGCTGACGTGAGACTGACGCCACGACTACCCAAGTCTGCAGGGTTGTCAGATGTAGGAACATAAATTGATGGCTTTGTAACACTTTCGGATGCCTTATAATTTTGTTGACACGGTTTGCAATGAATTTTCGGTATTCGCTACAGTCGTTAAACCAATGGACGGCTACTGTGCTTTCTAAAATACATGAAAATGTCACGTTTTAAAGTTTATCGATATCAGGGAAGTTTTCAGTATCCTCAGCATTTTTCCAAGGAAGACCAGGAAGTTCGTCCTTTCCAAGGTTGACTAAGCTGCTCATCTTGATTTCCAAATGAATGTTAACGGTCATTAGGATTTGTTTCCAGCTCCTCTTCTTCGTTCGGATTCGATTTGTGAATGAAGAACAAACTGAGAATCGTTTAAGGACATCGATATGAACGGCATCTCCTCGGATTCGCAGTTACGAATTTTGAGAAATGTGTGGTGCCAATCCTCCAAACGGGCAACTGGATGCAGGCGATTTCTCACCAACACACTCCAAAACTTATTCTGCAAGTAGTGGCCCTGCATTCAACAAAGATGCATTATTGGAGAAACGTCCAGACTAAAATTTGTTAAAATAAATTTCTTATTGACTTTTCACTCCAGGCCAGAGCTATATAAATTGTTGTCAAAAACTCAATCTTTGGTTATGATTTGTTTTGAAACAATTTTGCTTTTTTTCCAAGATTGACGAAGCTGCTCATTTTGTTTTCCAAATGAATGTTCACGGTAATTAGTAGGATTTGTCCAGCTCCTTTACGTTCGGATTCGATTTGTGAAGACTGATGAAGAACAAACTCATGCAGAATCTTCCATTGTTTGCATAGTGAGAGTCTACTGACACTAGGTACACCACATAAGTATTGAATACTGCAAAGCTATCGGGCAGTTAACCCGGGCTTTCATCAGTGCAATTACCTGAATACACACTGTTTACACGTCACTTAAATATCACGTTAGTCATGGTTTGTTAGCTCGCGCCATTCACTTACCAAAATTAATATTTATGAAAAATAAATCGTTCCAATAAATAGGTCTATTATATAGTTTTAATCTTTTGTTTTGCTCAATAGTACGTGGCGTACGCGTGCTCTTTTCAATGTCAGCTAGCTAAACACTAGTCTAGGACAAGCGTATTAATTAAAACTATAACTTTTTCATAATTATTTGGTAATTAAAACCGCTTAATTAATGGCGTAAGCCAACAAATCACGCCTAACGTGTTATTTTAGTGCCGTGTAAATGTTATTTCAGGGATTTCTCCTGATGAAGGCCCGGGTTAACAGACCGAAAGCTTTGCAGTATCAAATACTTATTAGATTACTTAAACTGAGAATCGTTGAAGATCTCGATATATGAAGCTAGGGCATCGCGTCGGATTGAAGGGTACGAAGGGTGCCCAAAAGGGCAACTGGATGCAGGTCATTTCTCAGCAACACATGATGAACTGTTCGTTCCACTGGCCGTACTGCCAGTGGAAGTACTCGGCGCTTCCGTCGTGATGGCGATTCGGATTGATATATTCTCAACTCAAATAACACAATGTGCTTTCGCCATTTTATTTAAGTACATAAAAAATACATTCGCCCTAAGTACATACAATGAGAAATACGATGAGATCACATTTTAACACCCCCACTAGCTTGATCTCATTCATATTTGCTTAACTCAGATACATCATACTTTACCCCCACTAGCTTGATCTCATTCATATTTGCTTAACTCAGATACATCAAACATAACTTTAACGATAATCAATATTTTACAAATATTTTAGGTACCAAATATAAAATCTTTGAATCTTTGCAACTTTGAACGTGTTGGTGATTTAGTCATTATATCAGCTATCATATTTGTAGTAGGACAGTAGTATACTACAACCTTGCCTGCGTTGATCGTCGAGCGGATAAAATGATAACGAATATCTATATGTTTTGACCTATTTCGATTAACTGGATCTTTCGATAAAGCTATCGTACCGTGATTATATTCATAAATTTGAATTAGACAACAAATATTAACGAGTTTGTTTAATAACTGGATGAGGTGAAGAGCTTCCTGAACGGTCACTGCCAGAGCAATATTCTCTGCCTCACAAGAGGAGAGCGCCACAGTCGGTTGTTTCTTTGATCTTCATGAGATCAATGGTCCGGTTTCAGTTAAACTGAAACAGTACCCACTGATACTTCGTCTATCATGGGTCGAAGAAGCCCAGTCGGCATCGCTGTAACCAATAACCGCAAATCATCATCACACTTTCTATAACACAATTTATAATCAAGAGTTCCTTTCAGATAGCGCAATTCATGTTTTGCCGCGAACCAATGCTCTCGGAGAAGTCTCGACAAATACTGTGACAATGTCGTGACAATCCAGCATATGTCAGGGCGCGTGCATGTCATTGCATAGATCAGACAATCAACCAATTCACGATATTTACTTGGCTCAGTAAAATCCTCGTCGCAGAAAGAGTAGAGCGGGATTTGCAAACATACATTTCAAATCTTGTCAATAATTTTGTCAAATAAATCTCCTGATTCATTTCGACATAATCAGTGCCTTGCTCAAAAAGAATACCTACAATCTTGGACAAAAATGTTGTAACACCCCACCCCCAAAATCAATGTTGTAAGGAGGTTTCACGTAGCAACAATAAATTTGGGGGGAGGGGATTGGTGTTACAACAACTTTTGTCCAAGATCAATCTTATACAAAAATGTTGTAACACCCCACCAAGGGATTTTGATAAACAAGGAAACGACGTCAAACGATACGAGCACTTGGTCTGTGTCTAGAGTTTCACCTTTAATAAATTCTGCGAAATGAGTGGACTTTTTTATTATGTGTAGAGACTATTCCCAACAGTAGGAGACAATATTCTAGCCAAATACTTTGAAAGAGTATAAGTACGAGAATTGAGAAAAGACACGATAGGTATCAAAGGGATTCCCGACTTATGAATCTTCGGAAAGCCATAGAATCGCGGAGATAATCGATCGCTACTACGCAACAATTTATAAGTGACCTCGCTAATTTTGTTAGCTTTCTTAAAGAGTGATAGGCGTTTGTTCAATTCTCTTTCAGTCTTAAAAGTTGGGTCAGACTTAAGGACACTATAGGTGTTTTTGTGATTGAGCAATGCACGCGCTTTCTCGCGATAGTTTTCCGTAGTCTGTCCATCACAACAACACAATTGCCTTTATCTGCAGAGAATACAACACTGTCCGGATCTTTCTTCAAAGATGAACACTTTACTGTAAATATTTTGGGGGAGCCTTAGCACGTCTGAGGATGCTACTGACTTCAGCTCTTACCGTTAGCTTAGTTTCGTCGTTAAGGTGAAAAATTCCTTCTTCAACCGAAGCGACAATTTCAGCTATTGGAATTCGCCTTGATGAAATAGCAAACTTAAGACCATGCTCTAGTCCTTTCCTTTCAATCTCCCTTAGCTCCTTAGTAGAGAGGTTTATTACCCATCTCTGTATAGAATGGTAACAATCATCTATACGTAATCTCAGGAAGGAAAAACCTTTCAGACACTGGGACATATTTTCGCGAAACCCAAGGATCGCGTAGCGATTAAACTGAAAACTGATGCTGTATACTCTATAACATGTGGTGATTGCGAGAAAGAATATCTAGGTGAAACAAAACGTCTGTTTGGCAAACGTTTAAAAGAAAATAAAAAGGCCTTTCGAACTTTGAAAGTTCAAAATCAGCCTTAGAGGAACACGTGTCTCAAACTAACCGCATAACGTGGAACGATTCAAAAGTCATTACCACTAATGATCGTTATGGACAAAAGCGTTGTTTGGAAGCCTGGCATATTAATGCGAGTCCTTGTGTCCTATATAGGGATGACGGAAGCTATTTGCAAAAAAAATATTTACATTTAATTCATAGATGACGTCATCTTGAGAGCATATAAGAAACCGAGTTTCAACATCAGATCACCCCGGAGTGTCGAAACGTAGGGTCGTGAAAGTTAATCTTTGTGATTACTTTCATTTAAAAACCAGAGAAACGATAATTACGATGAATCAAAGTGTTTAAAAAATGCAGATTCCATGCCCAAATATAAATTTGGTTATAAATATTGTCAGTGTACTGATAATCAGGAAAGCTTATTAACTTATAGCTTATTAATTAATTTAACAGACTGATGTATGAAATTTTAGATCAGGTATGGCATATCATGTAGATCTGTATAACTTCTTCTAAAAATCTAGCAACATTTTCTTCGCTATGCCTAAATGAATGTCAACTAGTGCTTTTATATAAAAAAATCGTAAGTTTAGGCCTCAATTTGTTATATATGCGCATGGCAGACATTTCATTCACTTAAACTTTGTATATTACATACCACAATATAATTTTTTTGCTTGTATACTCTATAGATTTATGGTCGCATATGCATGCTAGTATATATGTAGAAATATATCCTAAATCAATGCATGTTTATGAAATCTAAGGCTACCGACCTGGTTATATATTAAACAAACTTACCCGTTAAGGAGCTAAGATTCAAGGCATAGCTTTTGTTGTTCGCTTTCGGTTTGATCTTTGCTTTCCTTTCTTTATCTACTACCCGACGGTCTGATACTTTGACGAATGTATATTTATCCTTATATCAGTTCAGGTTCTTTATCCAATGCTACTTGCCAACCCGTACGTGAACTGCATCAACGGCCACTTTATATGAATACATCAACTGAACTCCCTGGGTAGAGCTACTGCGCACGAGTCGCTTCCTTCTGAGCTTTGATTCTCGGAGAATTTCAAGTACAAGTTATGTCGTAAAGAAAGTAAAATAGTTTCACCGGTAACCTAATTATATCGTCTTCGGAAGTGCTTAAGAGTTTCGATAAGTGCAAACTCATGCATTTTCAATATTAAGATGTTTTCGTATTTTGCAGATCTGCATGTCTATTATTTATTCAAATCGTGCCTTCATGTAATCGATAGCGCCAGAAATGGTACTTGTCACTTGCCAAGAGTGTAAAATAATAAACTTTGAAGAAGTTCACATGAGACGGCACTGGTTACCCGAGATTTGACAAAGCCTGACATCATTTTGTGGTATTATAAGGAGTTCAAATTAAAATTTCAGAGATTATTAGTATTAATGCCAACTGGATAAAAGCCCGGTTTCGCGCCACTAAAAAAATCGAATTCGTTGGCTTGGTTCATTGTTGGTGCTTGTATCCTCTGAAAGAACTAAAATTACCATTAAGTAGGGCCTACGGTTTACAGTGATGTAGCCAGGCTGAAAATTTAGTACTGCTGCGCTAACATTTTAAGGCCGTGCGTTTCAGGTCAAAATGTAGTGAAAGGACTTGAACTCTAACTTTATCCACAGTCCTCTCTCCATATTTCGACCTTTGGTTATCCTAAAAAGATTTTGCCAATATTTTATTTTTTATTGACTCTAAAAATAACTCATTTCTGAAGAAAGGAATACTGCCGGATAATTTTCAATTTTCGCGTACTGCGTGGCTGAAATTAAGTCCTGGGAAAATCAATCAAGTGCGATCTGACTCGTCGTTTGAGATAAACAATTACGTTTGCCGTTACGTGTCTAGTTTTAGCGATTCTATAACTGTATAGAAACACGGAAAATGTTTTCTATCTCTTAAATGTAAATAATATTTAAAAATTGTGGTACGCGATCGTTATGTGATTTCATTTAAAGCAATGTAAACAAATTGAATGGGATAACAACTGAATTCCCTTGATAGAGCTACTGCGCACAAGTCGCTTCCTTCTGAGCTTTGATTCTCGGAGAATTTTGAGTACAAGTTATGTTGTAAAGAAAGTAAAATAGTTTCTCCGGAAACATAATTATATTGTCTTCGGAAGTACTTAAGAGTTTCGATAAGTGCAAACTCATGCATTTTCAATATTAAGATATTTTCGTGTTTCGCAGATCTGCAAGTCTATTATTTATTCAAATCGTGCCTCCATGTAATCGATAGCGCCGGAAATGGTACTTGTCACTTGCCAAGAGTGTGAAAAAATAAACTTTGAAGTAGTTTACATAACTAATTTCTGAAGAAAGGAATACTGCCAGATAATTTTCAATTTTCGCGTACTGCGTGTATCGAAAGCCCTGGGAAAATCAATATGTCATAACAACTGACGTGACCGACATGGTTATCATGCATGAGCAAAATATGGCATACTGGAATTCTTTGTTTTCTGTTTGGACGAACAATTTTAGTGAAAGCTATTGGCAACAACATTTGCAGCTGTTAGAGCGGGTGTGAGGAAAGCTAATGTATCCACGTTCATCAACATAGTTTTCGTGACAAAATAAACACTTGGTAAATATTTGAAAAGCAATGACAATGACTATACCTGGTTGCCCCTTCCAAAGCCAGCAAGGAACTCCATACAACTGTACAACTACAACAAAATGCGTATAAAATACCGGCATTGAAGTCAATAAAAAATTGCCAATAATTTGTTTTCCAAGTTATCCAAGGCCCCCAAATGCCATCTAGCTCCTCTACAGTCTTTTTTCCCATAATTATAAACTTCAAAATTCTCACGAAGCGGAGTTTAATAATAACCGATTATTGACCGAGCGTGAGATCTTCACTGTGAAACATCCGACCGTGGCTTTTTATATAATATTGTATGCTCAGGAATATTGACATAATATTAATATATGCATTGAAATATGAATATTAGTTTATATCACGAGTTGAAAGAAAACAAGTACAGTATGGGCATGCAATCATGCATGCACCTGTTATAATTATAGACGTTGACATAATTCGGCTTAATGGTTTTAAAATTCAGTAGAAAATCACGCATCAACCCATATCACGCGATGATGTAAATCTCGCCAAATATCTTGTTCACTAATTTGACAAAGTACACCATAATATAATGCAACAGTTTTAGTTTACGTCGACACCATTAATTTTACAGTAGCATTTAAAGCAATCTCTTTGCAGGTGTACATGTTAATAACACCGAGTCAATTTAAAAAAACACTTTCACTGCAACAAGTGCATTGCTTGAGCCTGCAAGAAAAGGTGTACGATCATGTACATTTAAATAAACTCTGCTAGCTAGTCTTTCAAAAATCGATTTCCTTTTCACTTTCTGTACCCCGTAAGATTTATACAATCACTGATAAGTCATATTTTTCATGCACAATTGTTCCACCAGGCCTCCCTACCAGCTAGGTGTCTGACAGTAACACCAATGTTCTACTTTTTAAAGTTCTAGTGTCCTAATTTAAATTATTTTACAGTTTTTATTTCCTACAACAAAATTCATAATATAATTCTGCGTACGTTTTGTAAGGTTGTAGCTACGAAGTACGATCATTTAATTGTGAAGTCGTCGAACGTAAGAATTTGGCAGATGAATTGTTGATTGCGTTTTCATATTGTAGGTGGTCTTTTATTTAGTTTCAAACAAAGAAGACGAAACTTACAATAGTAGAGCTGATTTCTATTTAGTTAATCTGTCAACGTCCCAAATCTGACATACAGAAATCCTTCAATTTTTCCAGTTCTTATCGTGACCAAGATACGCTTTAAGATAATTATTCTGTATTCGGAATTCAATGACTGCGCAGTTATCATTCCAAAACCAGCAAGAGACTTACAAATACAATTTTGCTTTCAAGGAATAACATTTGCAAACCTAGAAATACTTGCCCAATGAAAGTGAGACTGATCTGTACTGGTTTAAATAAATTTATATCACGGGGGGTGAACTATACGGATTTCGGGGGAGGGGTTATTCATATACACTGTTCTGCATGATGGATTTCTTTTGACCCATTGACTTCGTTCATTTTTGCGCTTGTATACCATGAAAATATCTACAAACACTGATAAGTAGAGAAACATTATACAATTAAAAACTAAATAATATTATTAGAAAACTACTGCAGAAAATGACAATAATACAGTAAATAGAAACTCGGTTCTTTGCCTACCTACCCACTTCCATATTCAGCCCCAAAACGGTACTCGCGACTTCCAGTGTTATCACATTTTGGACGATTGTTACGTTTGCGCATTTGCCTGATTGAATATTGCTATCGTTACTCGTAGCGGAAGTCGATCTTAACCTCCCTAAAGCCGGTTTTCCACTAGCGATATTTTTCGCGCGAAGCGACTTTATTCCTTTGACTTTGTATTTGAGCAATTTGTTCCAGATGGTTGCAGTTGAGAGCTCTGAAACAAAAGTAAAATGTCGATTCGCTCGAAAAATATTGCTAGTGGAAAACCGGCTTAACGTACTACCGACGACGCGAAACGACGAGAGGTTTTTCAATGACATAACATTACCACTTCTAAAGTTGTAAATAAAACATTGCCAATGAGGCCTCTTGTTACGTTAAACTTTAATCACTGCTTAACCTTTGAACCTCGCTCTGCCAGCAAAAAAACTCTTCGGGTTGACGCGTGATGGCGTGATGACAGGACTAGAAAACAAAGGTCCCCATGGGGGGTTTAGAGAGGTTAAAGTGAACTTTCTAGACGTACATGAGCCCATTAGGAAGGTTATAAAATTGCATGTCATGCATAACACAAAGACTAGCCCGCGTTCGGTCCCCGTCGATTGAAATTTTATATTGACTACATTTTTATTGTTGTATTTAATTATCGTAATAAAAGTATATAATGTAATAAAATATCCATGAAAAACGAACTTCAAAGCATGTGTTGATACGTACTACATAGAATATAGTAATTATATTTGCTAGCTTAGTAATTTAGGGTACAATATTCATAATTTACGGTAATTCTATGTCGTTAATAATTGAATTTAAACCTTAACTTTTTAAGCTTTAACATTGTCTTGCCTTTTGCAATTGGAAGCTTGTAGGTTATAACAATTGTTTCCACTTATATTATTTATTATTTGCTGTAATCATATTCCTCGCAACATCTCGCAGTATATGACAATATTAGAAGATAAAAAGGTGTTAGAATGCGAGACGAATATAGAGGCTGAACATAAACAATGTCTTTTGACGAGACAGTAACACAGGCACATGCAGATAACTATTTTTCATCGGTTAAATGTAATTTATGAAATAAATGAAAAAAAAAACACTTTATTATTGGAAACATATGTGCATAGCTACATCTTCTCAATTCTAAAACCCTTCATCTTCGATTAATTCTTTGAAAAATGAAAATTTAAGTTTAACTGATTTTCTGTAAACATTACGACCAACATTCTTCAACCACTTTGTGGACTGGCACAATTCGTTCCGCACTTCCTTGCTTATGGGATGTCTCTCCTCGTACAACGCTACTGAACGGCATATCCGTACGCACATGGTCGCTATAACTGTCCTTTAATGAAAATGTTTGAACAAGATCCACGCAGTATATAGATGAAACAAAAGCCTTTTAAATCCCCATTCCGTGGTCCAGTTATTATTACGATTTGTACAAAATTTCCAGGCACCCGTAAAGATGATTTATTTAAAGCACAAGATCAATAACCACTCAGTGCTTCGTTTGATTATAAAAAACGAAGCGACAAATGAAGCAGCTTTCGTGGAACTCTAGTATAATTATTTCTCCAACATATA